TGTCAGAAGGGGTCACCTGAACTCGCAGCAAACCAGTGCCCCCCTTCAGCTAGGGATAAGATGCATATCATGTCCTGTAGAAAGAGACAAATGGGTGTGGTCTGGATTACTGGCTATTTAGGTAGGAAACTTCCAAGCTGACAATCCATGTATAATACTCTGTATAAATCTTAATAAAGCTGTAAGTTACTGTTTACATTCACTGAAGAAACAAGGGACCTACCTTGTCTTCTTGATTACGGAAGTAATACAGAATTTTTCCAACTAGGGTACACCAAACCCTTTTGGAATATCCATGTTTCACCTGTAATTACAGAACATTAGGAACAATCACAACCAGAGGAATACCGACTACTCTTCACCATGTCTGAAGTCTGGCRATATTGGGAATGCATGCCTTGGTTCAAATTGCTATCCACTTTACTAGATATAAAATTAAAACTGCATAACTTTAATAAGGGCATAAGAATCAAAGCATTAGATGAGATGCTGATCTATTGCAAAGTAAGGCCTGTGTTGGCCTAAACAGTGTTGGAATAAAGCAGACTGGGGGAAGAATTGTTTTCCTACCTTTGTAAGTAATCCTTTCATGGTTGGCTTGATTTCAGACTGTACGAAGAGTGGGCTGGCAGCCTGTATYTTAAGAACATTCTGCAGTACTTTGATCCATTCCTCTAAGATATTGGGGGAATCTGCAGTCAGGTAGTATGTTCGTTTCTCTGTGGTCAGCTGTGTAGTAACAAAAGGGTCTTGAGCTTCAAGAACTTGACACATTCGACCCCACAGTGTGAGATTTGTAACGTACACTACCCAATGTTGCTTCACAACTTCAGGGAGTTTATTTTCCCCAAAGTACTTTTTRTTAATGAAACATTCCATGACCAGTCAGAGCAGATAGACTCTCTGGAAGTAATTATCTGAAAAGTTCCAGAATGGCAAGTTGAGAAAACTCAAGTCTCCTTTCAGACAAACGAATTTTCTCAACCCAGATGGCTGACCTCAAGACTGCTCTCTTTATTTCTTTCTCATATGGGACAATCTAACCTTTGTGGCAGTACAAACAAGACACCATGTAGGCCTTTTTATATTTTCTGTCACTGAAACAATTCTTTGGTTGAAACAATTCTTTCAAATGAAAAGCACTGATTATTTAATTCCAAATTCACACTTGGATGTCCAGTGCAACAGGGACTGGAACAAGGGGTTGGCTTTGGGGATGGAGAGAATGCTGAAACATTAAGCAACAAAGGAGAAAAGCAGGCACCTGAATTGTTTGTTTACCATCACCCCTTTCAATGTGGCTGGATGCATTTAACTCAATTTGACCTTGAGGCTTTCTAATGACATCACTCTGTATGGAAAGAATGGAAAAAGAGAATTTTAAATCTACCAACAAATAGCAATAAATTATTATAGGACTAATTTAAACATTAATCTTGATAAATACTTTCTAGTTAAACACTGTGTACCTTGTACACATCTTGAGGAAGTGAGTACTGTGTCACTAACATCTCTGAAACCAAAAATGCTTTTTTTCCCCCTTTTAGCAGCCCTAGATTGTCAGTAAGCAATCTAATATAAAATAGGAGGCAAGTAATATGTACTTACTGGAGATTTGTAGTATAGCAATTCACCTCCTTTAAGCACAAACCACCGTCGTTTCCAGGTCTTTACTCTACCACCCATTTTTAACAGATATCCAGATTTTTCCAAAGGCTCCTGGTTGTTTAGCAGTTAGATAAAAAGTTGTTAGGTACACATATATTCCTCTGTCCCTCAGAAATATGTATAAATACACACAGAGATATATTATTGACTTATAAATGTCAATTAAAGTCGGGTAACTAATGAATATCCCTACTTACTGTTACAGTACATGAAGGAGAGTAAGTGCCCTGAACTATACAAAAGAGTGAAGAATAGGATGATTTCTGATTTTACTTTCAAGTTATTTATCTTAAACAAGGAACAAGATGAATAAAAAATAAATATATTTTTTCCCAACTCCTGATCCTAACCTGAAGACCACATATAAAACACTGTAATTCTGAGCTATTCACAGACAAACTTCTAACCTGTATATCTGCAGAACAGAGTTCACAGTTTTACTCTGTGAAGAAAACTTAAAATAATCTTCATCAGCAGATAGTTAAACACTTGTATGTTCACACACTACTAACACAAGCCATTAAAAAAGCTCTCAGGGAGTGATCAATAGCTCATAATGGTTTGACTTCTTTGACCTGTCTTCACCTGTTACTCTACCTAGGATTTCTCTGATGTTTTCCCTGCATAAGGATAGTAAGTATAGATACTTACTCCTGCATATAGATTTCCACTGATGACTACAGCTCCTTCCTTCTATTTACCTGAATATTCAAATAACAATTTTAAACTCATTTTAACATTTCATATGCAATCTGATACCAGATCTGGTTCCAAGAAAGGAAATCTCAAGGACTTTGTATTGTATTCTGGAGTTGTTGACCTATTTTTCCTTCATTATATAGAAAGTTTAGAATTAACTTCTACTTTCCTTCACTAGGTACAGCCCTACATGGCTAACATTGTTGGTATATTTTGCTGTTTAAGGCAGTCTGTGAGTCAGCAAGATTGAATGGAAAGCTTTGGTAGCCATCCATGAACATACACACACAGCACCTCAGGAGCACTTCTTCACAGAACTTCAGTACTCACATTTTTCCCATTATCACTAGATGAGGATGAGGTCTTAGGAAGTTTCTGCTCTGGCTCTGAGTAGTCTGTATCTACTGAATATGCATCTGGAGGAATAGCATAGTCACTTTCTGAGGTCACAGAAGACAGAGATGCAACTGTGGYAAGAGAAGAAAGAGAGTTCTTTATATATTTTTTATTACATTASAAACAACTGAGATCAGAACAGCCATAGAGAAAGAATATCTGAACATATTCTGCAGGCAAACATAAGTATCAGCATAAATCCATCAGGAAACAAGGATTTTTTAAAAAATATCAGTACACTAAACTATTAGCAGGGTGCTAATTCTCATTTTATTCATAATTCAACAGTTAAAGTCCCTTGTAAATGGCACAACAACAAAAAAAATCTTCTGTATATTATCACCTTTCATTGCATTACCACAGCTTTTTTAAGGAGGGAGTTAGTGCCACGAATCATACTCATTGTCTAGAAAAAAACCCCAGGATCTTGATTATACTAAGCAGTGTTTCCCTGGCACTTTCTAACACTCACTATAACGTCTGGATTTCTCATGCAACTGCTTGCATACTAAGAAGTCATACTCAACATCTGCTTTGTGTTGAAGCTGTAGATGACTGTGTTTTGAAATTAGTATGGATTTGTATACCAAGGTTTTCTCAAAGTTTGAATTTCATATTTCAGAGGGTTTTTAGAGTTTAGTTGCTTTAATCCTGAAAAAAATGCACCCTGCTTTCAATTCTAGTGAATCAGTAATAAAAATTCAAACTCCTCCTTCATTCATTGTAGAAATATTTTCATGCATGTAAATACGCATTTTTTGTAAGGACTAGTGTTTCACTCTGCAAGGTTATACTCTCCAAAACTGAAATGGCCCTTTTKCCTTTGTTTCATTAATTTCCCAACTCATTTGCCATTTTTTTTCTTAAAAACAGCTTTTCTCATTTATTGCTTTGGTAAGCCATCAGGACTTTCAGAGTGTGTTCTTCTCTTCTCATGGTGATCTTTAATAACAAATTCCAGTTGAGCTAATTATGAGCTAATTATGCTTCTGATGAAACAYGTGATTGCCTAGATTTTTAAACAATGTGATTTCAACAAAGACATGTACATAAGTGTTTTGTGGTTAAGAAAGGTTTCCACACTCTAAACAATGATGTTTTACTGGAAGAAAGCACAAACAAAAAGAATGGTTCCATTTTACAGACACAGATATAAATTGCAGGTGAAACCAGCTTTTAAATTACCCAATTTAACTTTCCTGTTGTGTGAGTACATAACATGAGATGTGTCTACAGCCTTGCACTGGTTTTTGCTCAGCAGGATGGAGCTGCTGGGAAGCAGGAACTGTGGGTCCTTTTCACACTTATGTGGCAAAACCACATCACTGTAAATAGGACGGGACTCCAGGTGGGGCTGCCACCAAGTGGACCAGTGGCTCTGTCAACCTGCTCCAGGATGACTAAGTGGACTCCTGCTAACTGGGATTTTTCACATGTATAATAGAGACTACCAAATCATGTTATTTTGCATTTCTAAAGCAATGTATAATGAAAGATCTTAACACTTGGCCTCACTGGGATCTTYATCTTGTTTACCCAGTGAAGAAATACTTGCGGGGATGTAACACGGATAATGTCACATAATGAGAAACACTGTATCTTCTAATATTAKGAAGCATATTATTTCCATTTTGCAGATGGAAAACACAGTTACCTAGAACTGAGAGATCTGTCTTCGACAAAGCATGGTCACTACCATATTCAAGTGTTTGAACTAAATCTTTGCAGGGGACCTTGAGACAGTCASTGTAAAAATGGAATAAGTATTTTAYTGCCTGAGGTGACAGAAGCAAATAACTTACTGAGGGAACATTTCCACCTGGTTTCTGATCACATGAAATAGTTTTATAAATTTGAATATATGTGTGGGTTTTTTCTGATGGTAATTTTTTTTCCATGTCATTTTTACTTTTCTACAGTTAAGTCACAGGAAGTCCTTGGCATGACAGAGTATAGATAGAATCATGCTTMTTCCTTYAAATGTTTAAGTCCCTTTCCTGTTRTGACAACAGCCAGCTATTAGATTAATGCCTTAAAAAATATCTATAGTAACAATAAAAAGAAAGCCATGTATGACATGCTTGAATAATAGATCTAGGCTTTGAGAGCCTACATTTTAGATGTCCACACTGTTCAAGGAAGAAGTCAGTTCCTAAGAAGATCATATAAAATGGCTAGTTTTCCAAACTTCCCAGAAGTTACTTGTTCTTATGGTTTTTGCCTACCTCGTTTCATAGCCCGAGGACTCCCTGGACCACTTCTGCTTCGAGAATCAGACTCAGAAGTCCTTGAGCTGGACCGAGAGCTGTCTTCTTCCTCAGACCCCGATGACTCATCTAGAAATGGGCTGTTGCTTATTTGAGTTGCTTTCTGCAGAAATGAACACAACATTCTTTGATACCTTGCATAAAGGCTATCAGTCATTTCCTTCACACTGTGGCAGGGCTCTGCTGGCTTTATAATACTCAAAGCTGTTCTTGCCTGGGTTGTGAGTTTTGGCACACAAATATGAACATGAAACTGAATTCCCTCTGCCCTCTGTATACTCAACCACACCCATACTTTAAAACAGAAACCTGAGGTAGCTCAAGGCATGGTCTTTCCAAATCACAAAAGTCTGCCAGGAAACAAACAATAGTATGATTACTGACTGCTGGCTGTGTGACTAGAAACAGCTTTGGCACTGACACAAAGACATTTCTACACATGCACACACTTTTAGTTATGACATTGAACACCATGTGGTTCTGTTTAATAATTAACAAGCCTTTGGAAAAAATCAGCAAGGAACCTAAGAAGAAGTGACCTAGGCCAGTAACATTTTATAAGCAGTATTTTTTTCCCCCAGCTGTTTGACATTTCTATTACTTCTGGGGGTCTGTGATCTCTGCACATCAACTTACAGCATATTTGGCATGGYAATATCAAATGTGAAACAACAAATTCCTGAATGTGAAGCCTAATGGTGTTTTAAAATTTTCTTTGAACAGTAATACAGTTACCCCTTTCAAAGTGGTGTAGACAGGAGTGGTCATGTTCTTATATATAAGAGATGTATATAATCCAGATATGGAGCATGAAGTTGCTGAAACAGCACCTAAAAAAGCAACATATTTTAAAAGTTACCTTCCTAATTCACCCCTCAATTAACCAAATCTAAATTTAATATTTTTTGTGCTTTGTAACTGGTATGAAAAGCAAACCAACTCTTGAATTGTTTCAAAATTGAGATTTAWAGCTTTTTGAAATTTATATTTTTAAAAAGAAAACATAAATAAAATTGCAGTAATGAACATTAACCCTTTTTAAATTGGTACCTGGTACAGAATCTTCAAAGCAGTGAATTGCAAAGTAAACTGGAGTGAACAAAGTAGAAATTCAGCACAAACTCAAGAGGTAAGTTAACAGAAGACAATGGAAAGATAACCAGTGATCTTTTAGGTTTTAAACAGCGGATAACAAAGTCTTTATAAAAATATTTTTAAAGGTCCTTGCTCACAATTCACCGTAAGACGATAATTTTTATTGATGGGACAATAAACAACTAAACCACTTACCTTTTTTAAGAGATTCCATGGTGAAAGCTTCAGACATTCTTAAACCAGATTTGGCTACAGCATAAATTCTGCTTTCCTGTACAAGCAGAATGGATTTGATGGTCGATAATTAAAACACAATTACTTTTCTTCTGTTTAGCCTCCTAGTCTTTGTGTTAATGCAACTATGTGATAAAATGGTTCATAAAATGACATTGTAAATAGCAGCTTAAAAATGCATCCTTCTTCTATATGCGATACACATCATAGCCACAGTAGTTTTCAAMATTTTTTATACAGTCCTTGCTCTGTATGTAATTTATTCTTAGAAGTACTATTAGCAAGTGCCAAAGAAGCTATAGCAAGAATGTTTTTTAATGGAAGATTGTGTGTTAAGAGCAGAGAAATGCCATTAGAAGACAACTTTTCAACCATTTTATGTTAAAAGGCTACAGTAAGAAAATGTATAATGCAAAAAGTTCACTAAAATATATACATAGAGAAGCTGTTACATTAATGTATTATTCATCTCTCAATAACAATCAATAAATATAGAAATACAATTAACGACTAAACAAATACTAATATATTAATAAATATATTTAATAAATTATTTATTAATGCATCTCTCATACTGAAACCGCAGAATCAGTGAGTCTTGACATGGTTAATTTTGGATTTTGTGTAAGATATATTAATAAATATTTTAATATCCTGACTGATGGCTTAAAAATTTTACTTGGAAATGCAATCAATTACTACTGTAATCCRTAGTTGTCTGCTGTCAACTTAATTGTCTAGACAGTGAGTGGTACAGTGGTTACAGCAAAGGCATTGATGCCAGCAGTCTTAGGCTGTGTTGGTTTTCAGATAAATAAATAAATGCAGTCACAAGCATTACATCCTTTGATACCCTCAAAAGGACATATCTAACTTAGATGTGACATGAAGAAAACCTGGGTTTATCTACAAAATAGTGACTATGTTTTTCAATGGAAGGAATACTGTGCTGAAAATAAAACTTGGTTTTGAGTTTGTAGTCTTAGTTGCAATTCAGGTAATGCCATCTTGCTAGTAAACAGAGAATAATCAAAATAAAGGCAACAAAAATAATGGAAGAGAGTCATGAAAATAAGTTGSTTTTGCCAGTAGGAAAAATATATATAACCACACTTACCCAAGAAGGAAATCGATGTAATGGAGGCGTTGGAGGTTTGTTGCTAGCACTCTTTTTTGTCATACCAYAAAGTTCCTGGGCTTCAGCATTTTGCGCTTCAGTGCAGTCATAGGTAAACACTCCTTCATCATAGCCAATCTCCATTTTCTCTAAAGTATCAATATCTTCTCCATCCACCAGATCTATGTCTGTTTCCTGAGGTCTCCATGGACGGATCATGCTTATGGCATTTCTGTTTCTACCAAACATTCTGTCAGAACTCAGCTGAGGCTGGCTTAGGTGTTTCTTTGCTAGTGCTGAATTTAGACTGAAGACATTAGGAGTCCGTAACTTTGGATGTGGCAAATTTGTGGGAGAATCTGATGTGCACTGAGAACCTGCAGAAGTTGCTAGAATTGGGTGTTTGGGTATCAGAGCAGGAGTTAAAATTGGACTTGGRGTATTTGTCTCACTGGATGAGGATGAATAATCTAGCCTCTGTGACTGAAATTTCTTATTCAGTTCATCTGAAGAACTATCTTGGTCTTTCTTTTTCCTTGTGAAGTCAGAGTTGCACTTTCCACCTGGATTGTTCAGGCCTTTTCTTTGGGACCCTTGCTGCCACGAGTATAGCTTCTTTTGCTGAGTTCTCTTCACATCAAAACTCTCCTCTTCAAATAGAGAACTACTGTCATCAGATGCTGTCAAATACATTTCACTTCCCACTCTACTGTACCTTGCATTCTCTTCAGATGTGTGGCTTGAAAGAGTYGATGCACACCTGGATTTTAGTCCTTTGTTGTCTCCTCCATCCTCATCTGAGCTCCAGTCACTCCCAGTAGTGCACGAGTTCTTTGACATGTCACTRTCTATGTCTTTGGATGAACAGCTTGTTCTCACATTTTTGTTCTGCTCTGAACCAGAGGAACTTTSTTGCAATGACTTCTGACCTTTATTTGTCTCGTGTACAGGACCAGAAAAGGTAGTTTCCAGGATATCCTTCTCTACAGGAGAAACATAATGAACATGAGAAAATTACTTTAGCAAACTTGAGTGATAAAGGGTTTTGTCATCATGTCTGCTAGTAGGAAGCAGGTAATAATTTCAAATGCGTAAGAACATTTACATTTTTTAATATTGTAAATAACAAACATTAAGAAAAATATTACATTTTTTTTTATGTGAATGAATGCAAATTATGTTTGCCAAAAAACTGTAATAAACATTACTCAAAGTTCTAGCTGAACTAAAAATGGCAGTAAATATAAAGACAAGCAGACTGGAGCCGTATTTTAAAGTAAGCCATGTATGCGTGAAAATAAACAAATAAACAAAACCAACAAAACCGAATATACTTAAGAAGGCATACAAATTAGCTGCTTTATCAAATCTAAGAAAAATAAAAGTTTAACAAAAGCTTGTCAGAAAGGATTTTCATTTAAAACCAAGATTCTGAGCATTTCTACAGTGTTTATACACAGAAATTTATTCTGGAAGCTATTATTRTATTCCCAATGGTGAATGCTTAAGATATGTAAGAGAGTCTCATGGAGAATATTTAAGAAAAGATGCCATATTAAAAATAGCATTGTTTCTGCTSTTCACTTTTACCTGGTTTTGCAAGAGAGAGCTATAGCTTGCAACATATTATTGAGGCCTGCCTGCTCCCAAATTAGATGCAAGAATTAGGGCTTTCTACACAGACCTTTCAAAAAGTCCATGTTAAATAGCTGTATGAAATTAAATTGGATTGAATAAGACCAAGATTTTAATTTCACACACATGAAAGTAATGAAGTCCCACAAATTATCTGTTTCCATCCTAGGCAAGCCTARGGTTCTATTTCTTCTCCTTTCCCTGTAAAAAAATCCCCCTTCAATTCCCTCATCTATAAAAACTGAAGTAATAATACATAGAAACCTTCATAATGAACTTGGTGTAATATAAGTACACAAAACATTTATAGAACCTCTTTCAGTTTCTGATTTCCTAAAGACCTCAGCTTGCTATTTTGGATAYCATGAGTAACTGTGGAGAAAATACKGAGGTCATAAGCAGTATAAGGGACTGAAGAAAAGACCAGAGCAACAACAAAGGCCACAATCACATCTCTTCTTTGCAGCCAAAGCAGGCTTGAGCTTCTGCATGCCACCAAATAATGTCTCAGTGGTATTACAGAGACTGTAATGGTCAACGGGATTTGTTCCCAGCAATAAAAGTATTGGGAGAGATGTACTTTGACAACAGCTGTTTTGGATGCACTGATAGAGCTGATTTTATTGTGTCAGAAAAAATGGCAGCATTGGTGACTAGGTACCTGGCRTGTTTTTGCCTTCAGGGTAGTTCGACTCTTTATGTGAAGCCTTGCTTATTTCTTCAAGCTTTGGAGATGGTTGAGGACTTCTYGCTCTGTTTGAAAAGCATCCAAAAGTCAAACTGCTTATTCGCTGACACTCCCCAGGTTTTTGTGTAGAAGTAACAGATTTCTTGCCAGTAGCTTCTGAAGAATAGTAATTCAGAAATCTTGAGTTAGTGAGATGCAACTTSTATGCTACTGGTCTCTTTACTCTGCAGTTCAAAAGGTTTTATATTAAAGTTAAC